TTTAAAGATTTTATTTATTTATTTGACAGAGACAGAGACAGCGAGAGAGGGAACACAAGCAGGGGGAGTGGGAGAGGGAGAAGCAGGCTTCCTGCGGAGCAAGAAGCTCGATGTGGGGCTCGATCCCAGGACGCTGGGATCGTGACCTGAGCCGAAGGCAGACGCTTAACGACTGAGCCACCCAGGTGCCCTAGGATTCTACATTTAAAATAATTTTTCCAAGGATTTTTGAGTGCATTGCTCCATTAATTTCTAACATCTTGTTTTGCTAACAAGAAATCTGGTACCAGTGGAGTCCTCTTTTCTTTGTAAGTAATCTATTTTTCCCCCTCTCTGGAAGTTTTTAGAATTTCCTCTTTATCCCCTTCTGCAACTTGATCACAATCTATCAAGGTTTTGTTGTTTTCCATTTGTCCAGGCTCACTGTTGCTGCTGTGTTAAAGATCAGGCAGAGTCTACTACAGTAATCTCAGCAGGGACCACAGTCAGGGCAGTGGACGGGTGAGAAGTGGCTGGACCTGTTTATGCTTTGAAGGTGGAAACAACAGGGCATGCCCAGGGGTTGGCTGTGGCTGGGGGGTGGGGTGGGGGGGGGGGGGGTGCAAGAGAGGGAGAGAAGTCCACATTTGTGCCCGAGCTACTGGAAGGATGGAGCTGCCATTTTCTGGATGGGGAAGACTAGAGAAGCACATGAGTGAGAAAATCAGTCATCTGGTTTTAGACAAGTTGAATTTGAGATCCCCATTAGACATCTGGTGATGATTTTGAGAAGACAATTGGGTATCTCCAACCTGTCTAACATTATGTTTACATCCTCTCTCCGTTTTTGTTCTGTGTTTTGCGAGAGCTCTTTGGATTAATTTTCTAAGCAGTTCCATTCTGTTAATGAGCCCATCTATTGGTGTGGGGGTTTGCTTGTTTATGTTTTTTTGTGGAGCAGGGAAAGGGGAGGGAAAAATTTAAAAAGCTATTTTAGAAAAATGTCAAGCATGTATAAAGGAGAAAGAACAGCACAATAAATCTCCCTGTACCCAACACTCAGCTTCAACAATTATGAATTCATGGCCAATATTGTTTCATATATGCTAAACCATCTTCCCCCGTGCCTGGAATATGCTGAAGCAAATCCCAGACATTTCAACTGTGAATAATCATTTTTAATTTCCAAAATCTTTAGTTGATTCTCCCCCTGGGGATGTAGTATCTTTTCGTTTCTTTCTAAAGATTTCTCCTCTGCCTACTGCCTCTGTTGCCTCCAATATTGTTTATTCAAGTTTTTTTCTTTCAGTGTGTTTTTTCAGGATACTGGTTTTCCTCACTTGTTCGGTGATTCCTGGTTATCTGTCCATCTCTGTATTGTATGGCATTCCCTATTCTGCCTGTTTATCAGTCTGTATTTTGCCTGTTCTCGTTATCACAGACTACCTGCAGTGAGGTGGGGACAGGGAGGACGCAGCTAGGAGGGTGCCTGGCCTCTGAACACACAGTTTCGGCCAGTGGACAAAAGCCCTGCTGCCTACTGTTTAGCACAAGTGGGACAGGTGGAAGAAACCGACCAGCTTAGAGGATGCGAATTGTCTAGAACCGACCACATACAGGAATGCCACGTGCCATTCTCCACCCCTTCTTAGACCCACTGGCTCTGAGCTCACTGCTCTGCCCTCTGCTAGTCTTGCCCTGCATGTGCTCGGGGCTGAGATTTTCTTCTCTCTTGATTCTCCACACACACCGATTTTGCCTTTCTCTGAGACTCCTTCAGTGTTTCTGGCCCACTGACAGCACCTTCTCTTATAGCCCATGCAGTTATGGATCTATTCTGTAGGCTGTCGACTGGTCTTTAGCATCTCTGCTTTCATTTCAGAGGTTAGGGTGGACCCATGTGTCTAAACTATCCACTGGATCCAAATTCCCACACTTGCATCGCTTCTTGGCCTTTTGGCTAAGATCAAGTGCAAATTTCCACATTTGTGAAAAGCAATAAAGCCGAGGTTCAAGGAGTGGCAAACTACAATGCTTGATTTCATTACCTTGAAATACTTTGGTGGCTATTTTTTTCTGAAGTGCCTTATGTTGTGATGAATGGCACCAGAGTTTTGCTAATTATTCTCTAAGACACCTACGCCTCCTTCACTGGGAATAAACTCACAAAGTTGGAATCATTACAATTAAAAACAGTAACAATAACATTTCCAAAACAAAGATAATAGAGTTGAACACAGCACTACGCAGTGCTGAGCACCTCATGGCTAATGTCAAATCTGAAGGTAAGGGGATCAGAGTGACACAAGGGAGGCCCTAGAAAAGGGGAGGACCTGTGATCGCCACCACCAAATGCCTTGGTCCTTTGTGCAAATTTGGCCCAAGACCTATCAGTAAAAACACAACTGAAATCTTGGAGAGAACCCATCCCTACCATGCTGCTTCTCTCAATCATCGGTGAGGGCTGGGGCGTCCCGGACACGGGGGTAGAGCTTGGGGTCCTTATTTCCTCGATCATATTCATGATCTTCTCGGGCACTTTGGTAGCGTCACCACACGTTTCCTGCCACCGGGGCAGCTTGGAATTGAGTAATTCTGCAGACTGTGAATCCGAGAGAAACACAACAAAACACAAACGTGTACTGTTCAAAGAGCTGAGAAAAGTCATGTCAAATATCAGGGATAATGTTTTACTGGCTTACCACGAGAAGTGTGAGAACTTTGTGTCAAATTCAGTGAGCACTTAAGCATCTATGAACTTCCTCCCTGTGTTATTTGCTGCGAGAGCTGTCGGCCCCTGTTCTACAGGAGCTTGCCCTCTGCCTTGGTGTGAATGCAGAGTTGAAGACTGACGCAGAACAAACTCAAACACAAAAAGGGAAGGGTTGAACAATCTTATTAAGCCCCACTGTTTCCCCAGTGGCCCCAGAAATGCCAATCAGTGCTTTCTTCCTCCCACTCCTAAGAGAGGGCAAAGAACCCTCGCCCCAAACCACCTATGGCCTCGGACCGTAGCCCTGACACACCGATTGCTTGGGCCTGCTTTGTCCAAGGAGCCACTGAAAGGACTGGGATGCTGGAGCCAGAAAAAGGGAAGGCAAAGAAGCGGTTTTCAGAGAGATGAAGAGATTCCCAGTAGAGAAGAGTAGACTCTGTTTATGCTAAAAAGTGTAACTGGGATCCAAGGTTAAGCATAAGAGTCTGCCACCAACTAGAGCTCTCTGCAAATTGGCCAGGTTGCCTTGTGACACAGTGAGTACCCCATCACTGGCAGGGCTAGGCCAAAGGAAAAGCCTCAAGGTCACCTGACCTATGACCCTGCCCCAGCAGGACACCCTCACCGTGGACACAGATACTGCTGAACTGAGTACAAAGTGACCATCTAATACTGCAATTCTTTCCTTTCCTGTAACAATGTTAGATCTTAGGGCTTTAGATCTGGTAGATGAATGGTCCTTAAGGTTGCAAAAACTTTATGGAATATGTAACATATGACCGAAACATACATCCAAGGCCAAGTTTTTTCCCCCTGAAAAAGAGGAAGTTGCCTTATTTTCAAGCTCTTAGAAACTTCTACCATGGAGCGCTCTCTAAATTATTATAAATAACAATGAATATTTGACTTCACTCCATGTTAGTTTTGGATGCTTACACAGGCCCAGTAAAATTTATAATTTAAAAAAAAAAAAAAGGAGGGAAAGTAACATATTCTCTTGTAATGATTCCTGGGTGTAAAACCTCACAACTATGTGTGCTGGAAGGAGGGCAGTAAAGCCAGTTCCACAGGTGATGAGATCACGAGGAAACACCTTGAAGAGGAATGAAAAAGGAACCACAGCAAGTGTCCTGATGCTGTGAGTGGGTCTGCGGCTGGGACAGAACTTCCAGGGACACCTCTGTGCATGGATTCCCCAGGCGAACACTCAAACTACCCAGGTGGGGTGGGCTTGGGGCCCGCTGGGACTCATCCCATGGCTCTGAAGACACTGATGCTGAGGACGCGTCATAAAGAGTCTGAGAAGAGCTGACTCATAGGTGAGAAAAGAAAAAAGTACTAATTCTTGATTATTAAGCATTATTTTATGAAAGATTTTAAATATGGATATACTACTAAATTAATCATGTATTATAAGCAATACTTAGCCATTTCAACCACACTTCTGAAAGTTTACATATTCCAGTGGGCCAAAAGGTATTTCTTTGGCATCTCTTCTCATTGGTAAACTAGGCCCATCGCTTTACATTGAGGCACATATGGAAGGTGAAGCATTTCAAGAGCATTTGAATATGAAATTAAATTATTAATAATGCAACAAAACTTGTCATCACAAACCCACCTGTAAATGATAATAATGTAAGTGATTTGCAAAGCTACAGTGTTTGTCGACCAGAAAGCAGAAGCGCCTTTTCTCTTCAAGTAGAGCTTCTTTGCAACCATCTGCAATAAATTTCTGGATTTCGCTCTGGCGAGACGTAACGGTTTCTACATACTAGGAAAATAATAATTATACAAGTATGTCATGAGGAGTCAAGTAGCTGCACAGCCAGACATTTATCTTGTGCCGTCTTTACACTTGGTTTATTTTGAAATAGAGTTAATGCTAAATACAGATAAACATGAGATAAAATAACAAAGTTGTAACCTGACCTGGGCAGGTATCATCATTCTGATTAAGATCCCTGACTCATGTGTGGAGGGACGTTGCCAAAGGCCTTACATTCTGCGCTGGGCAATCTGCACAAAATATTACTTTATACTTCAGGGATAGGATTGCGTTCTGGTGGAAAATCAAGGGCTTTGAAACCAGAAAGTTCAAATTTAAACCCCAGTTCTAAGTATCAACCATGTGACTTGGCCTAAGCCCCATTTTCTTCATCTGTAACATGGGGAGAGTAACGCTAATCATAGAATATCTCTTACCACCTCCCCACCCCCAAATCAGGAGAAAATGCCAATGTTTTTAGGAGGCTATTAATTACTCTTAACTCTGGAAAACTCTGTAGCCTTCAGCTCATACCAAGTCAAAAATGCTCATTTTTAACTTCAGTAGTGGCACAGCAGTAAGTGGTTAAAGTGGCTAAGTAACCTTCCCTGTAAATTGTATAAATTGTCAACAACAAAATAAAATAGTGCTGAAAAGTTCACCTCAATTTCTTTGTGTTCGTATTTGAGTGCATTTCGTCCTCCTTGACTTTTCCTTCTGATCTTCTTCAACTCAGCTTGAGATTTCTCCAGAGAATCTAACTTACTTTTGTGTTCCGTTTGGTATCTTTTGAGAGTTGCCTGTAAGTTAAATGTTGTGCTTATTTGAGTGCAGCACCGTCCAAACTGTTGGGCAGTTACTTTTGCTAACATTTCCGCTGGGCACTGCCCTGCACACCCTCACCTCGTACTGCTCCCTCCCTTCAACGTGCAGCTTTTGTCTGTCTTAAAGTCCCCTGGTCGTACAAGGGGCTAATGACCCCAAGGGCAGCTCTTAGAAGACAAGAATGTCTTTTCTTTCTTTTATTCCTTGTTTTCTCAAATTTTTTAGGACACTGAGTGCTAAGTGCTTTGGTGAATAAAAAAAGAATATTAAGTCACATGTTCCTGTTTTATGACTTACAACTTTAAAAAACAGAATGAACAAGTGCAGTCACTTCCGATTATTCTGGGTGCTGTGTAACCAAGTGTTTCTGGAGCCTCACAGACCTGGGCTGGAATTCTGGTAAAATCCTTCACTTCCTGTGTGATCTCAGCAACCACTTAGTTTCTCTCAAATTCATGTTTTCCCTTTAATCTGTACAGTGAGGATAAGAGTAGCTACATTATGGAGTTTCTGTAGGGACAAAATCTGATAATGTATGGAAAATGCTTGGCATTACATCCACCTCAGCCGTTGTAGGTGGTCCTGCCGCCTTCCTCTGGAGTACACAGAGCACACGCACTCAGGGGCAGTGGGGTGATTTCAGGGTAACTACACCGCTTACTGTCACATGGGGTCTTGGTGAGAAAGAGGCTTTGGGTGGCAAAGAAAGCAGCTATTCCACAGCAGGTAGGGGAGATGGAAAGAGCCGTGTGACAGGGCTGGAGGGTCCGGCAGAAGGAGAAAACTGCTGGAGTCATCAATACCAGGTGACAGGCAAGGGACACCACGCAGGAGCAGTCTCTGATGAATGGACATGGGAGCCCCAGGGAGCTCCAGATGGTGGTTCTCCCACCCACGTTTCACACCCTGAAGTGGTTTGTGAAAGCAACAGCTACATCTGCACTAATACAGATGCAGAGGTCGTCCCCATATACGTGTTCTTTGAAAACAATGCTTTCTAGAAGCAGGAGGATTCCTTGCAATATTTTCCTCTCTGCTTTTTAATGAAGATCCCAGGTGTTAATGCAAACGGGGCACCCAGCTCCAAGGGCCTTGTCAGTTTCCTGCATCTGTGTATATGCTCTACACTAGCCCTGACCATGTTTTCTGCTGCTGGATAAACAGTGAGAGAAAGTTCTCCTCGGGCTCAGAGATCAGGCAAGTGCAGCCTCCCGGAACGCCAGGCCCCCGTGCCCCACACCCACCTCCAACCATGGAGGTGGAGAAAACCGTGTACTCACATTCATGTATTTTACATCAAGTTCCGTCTTCTTCTCCAGCTCATGTATAATCTCTTTATGGAATTTTTTGAACTGTTAACAAAAGAAATTGAAAATTCACACCAGATTTGAGACGTTAAGCAAAATACAGTTTAGAAATAAAATATATTTTATTTTGTAAGTATAAACATAGTTTACATACGTTTTCATCAAGATTCTCATTGAGTTTCTTGTGGGTACTTGAAATCTCTATGAGAACATGGCCTGTGAATAAAATCAGATGTTAGGGGGAAAAGTCACCGTGTGGATTTTGTAAAGATATTAAAGAAAGTAAAATAATGGAATGAAGCACAATGTACCACCCCACTCTGCGCCTGGAAGCATCAGGGCCTGTGCCTCGTCAGAAACACAGACTGCGTGCCCATGGCAGGGTGGGTGCCAGAGGGACATAGGCCCTAGCAAACTTACTCTGCAACACTGTTCATCCAGAGAATGCCAATTTTGTCTTCAAATTCACATCATGCTTTCTATATTTTCTCATTCCCTAAGCTGAATCTTATTTATCTGACTTAATTTTTAAATTCTCTTATACAAGATTATCATGGTCATTATAGTAACTAACTATAGGAACAAATGGCTTATTTTTATCTAATCCCCAGAGTAATCTGATTATCTGTCAGGCATAAAAGATAAAGGTTATTTTTTCTCATATTAGTTCTTGTATCATTTTGGAAAATATTAACACCATGGGAAAATGCAGCAGGGACAGTGCTCTGCCTCATATCTCCCGGGACTACATCAATTCTCTGAAACAAGTACAGTCACATGGAGAATGTTCCAGAACTGAGCTTTACTCCAAAAGCAGCAAGACAACCACTTGATTTGCAAAGTACATCTCTTGCAGTTTGAGGCAGTATGATGCATCTCTGCTACTAAACTCTGATAAAGGTGAACAAGAGCCTCTCCCTGTTCACTTACCTATAGGAACCAAATGGGTCTGATACCTAAGAACTAGAAAAGACAGATTCATTTGGAACAGCCACCGGGCCATACAAACAATAACAAAATGTGCTGGGTAGATCCTCCCACAGTTTGGTAGGAATTCCTTGGGTAAACTGAAGGCTGCAGATGAAGGAGAATTAAAATTAAGACTGTGGTAGATGGGGGAAAGCGAAAGAATACCAACGAGACTGTGACTTCAGCTATCACCTTTACAGAAATGATACTATGGTGCCCTATTCTAGAAAGAGTTAAGACATGTGACTCTCAAATGGCCAGTCTAGTCCCCCTACCCCCCATCTTCAGACTCAGAAATTCAGCCCCTTCCTGAACATTTCCACCTGGATGTCTCATTAGGTACCTCACATTCAACATGTCTAAAAGTGAATTCACCCCATAGTCTCCAATCCCAGCTCTTGGCTGCCAGCTCACAGCCAGTCACATGGGGTTGACACTTCACCCATATGTCACACTCAATGACAAAGACTCATTCCCTTGTGCATGTGTGTCATCACTTGGGCCAGGGTGAAATCACGCCCCTTACTCATCCTGCTTCCTCGGGCAACAAATGTGCCAGCCCTTCCCTGCCTGGGAGAGAACGTATGTGAGAATGACTTGTGAAGTCTCTGTGCGCCCAATCATCTGTCCCATGAGGGGTGCGGGAAGAGTCTCCCGAGTCTGCCCCCAACCAACACATTCAAACCCACCAGTTGGACCTCTCAGGTCTTGCCCCTCAAGCTCTTATCATTTCTCTTGACTCCCAGCTTGTTCTCTTCCAGACCCTCTTCCTCAGGGATGCCAGGGATCCCTCAAAATCAAATGTAACATGTCATTCCCCCAGCCCCCACGGTGTCCCAGATAAACCAACTCCTCAGCATGAAGCCCACTATGAACAATGCTGCTTAAAATAACCATGGCAGGTGGTGGGGACAGAGATTCTCCTTATAAGGTTATAGGTACATAACTTGTAAGTCCCTAAGCAGCCTGTGATTCTAAGAATCTCTAACAGAACAGCCTGCTGGATAAACCTGAGAGTGAGGGCAGACACATCCCCAGCACTCATCCCCACCACACCAAGTTATTAAGATACCCACTCTCCATCTTTAATGACACTGACTTCATTTCTCCCATAATTAAGTTCTCCTAAAGCTCAACATGAAACAAATCGGAGTTCTTCACAAAGGAAACCTTCACATGACCAAGAATATAATTACATTAATATGTCACTTTATCATTTAGTCATTTCAGATACCGAAATAGTCTGAGTTACTTTTTTTTTTTTTAAAGATTTTATTTATTTATTTGAGAGAGAGCAAGAGAGATCACAGAGGGAGAGGAAGAGGGAAAAGCAGTCTCCCTGCAGAGTGCAGAGCCTGACACGGGGCTAGATGCCAGCACCCCAGGATCACGACCTCAGCTGAAGGCAGACACTTAACTTACTGAGCCACCCAGGTGCCCCGAGCCAAAGACATTTTTGAGAGAGACTGCAAAACCCTGCATTTCCCGGATCGGAACACACTGCAGCTTATGATGAGGCAGGCATATTCTAAAACACCTGAAGGCTCCAATGAAACGCAGGGCACATTTTTAAGAGTTCCCATTCCATGTAATCCAGAGACTGCACCCATGCACCATTCACAGCTGAACAAAGGCCACCAGTAGTACCGACGATGGGGGCAGAGCTGTGGAGCCACATATCCCATGAGCAGCAGGGAGACGCCTCTGCATGAGCTACAGAAAGGACCATACAATAACCAGAAAATAAAAAACAAAGTAGCCTGTGGACCACCAGCAGTGCCCGGGGGCATTTCTGGGAGGAAGCTGGCCAGAGCACAGGCTAGGCAGGCTCCGGCACCGCCTGGCCACTGTGCAGCCCTGGGCATGAAGCTCAGCCGCACGGCCCCCAGAAGTCCAGCCCACGCTCCGACCCTCACCTCCCAGGTTCCTTCCCACTGCACTCTAGCAGCCGTGCAGCCTCGCAGAGGTTCTGCCCCACCTCCCCCGCGCCTCCTTTCCCACCCTCCAGATCCGTTCATGGCCCAGCCTGAATGCCAAGGTCTGGGGCACCACAGCCCTACCCTCACAAACACCAGGAACTCCCTGCTCCTCCCCCAGCACCACCACCTGGTAACCCCAACTAGTTCATTACTTCTTGTCTGAGCTGGAGCAGCTGCAGTTGCTGGAGAAACAACCATACTGCCTGGCTTCCTTTAAAATCATGACCCCAAACCGTAAATGGGCATCGGCATTATCCCCCATATACCCCGTATTCTATAGCACTTGCGCCTTCTCACTCTTCAGAACCCGTTTCACAAATTCTTTCTTTACACTTGCTCGCTCTGCCCACCCCCTCCGCTGACGCCCTTGCTTCCCCACGGAGAGCAGCCATCCTCAAGCAGGAACTCCCCAGTCTGTGCGCACCTCTGCCCGCGCCCGAGGCTTCTTGCTCACTAACTTCCCTGCTCCCAGGCCCACACGCCACGTATGCTCCTCTCGCCTTCCCGGTCACCGTCCTCTTCTCCATCCTTCCCCTTCTTTAACGGTAAAATCTATCCTGAGAAAAAAATGAGAACACGGATCCCTCCTTTCTCGATTCTCCATCATCCTGGAATCACAGCCTCGTTCTCGGAGCATGCCAAATATGTGCCCTCCTCTGCTCCTTCTCCTCTCCTCGACCCCTACATGATAGGCTCCTTGCCATTCAGGTCTCAGTTTCAATGTCCCCTCCTTGGGGGTGCAGACACTGTCACGTGCTGCCCAGATCAACAAGAAAACTCAGGGACTGCTGCCCTGGGCTGTCCCTTTGGGAAATCGCCCTGGCTCAAGCTCTCTTGCCCTGGATGCCGGTGATCAAGGCCTGGCTCCCCTCCCAGTCCAGCTCCTCCCCCTGCCGAATGCTGCTCCCCTGCTCTCACTTTCACAGGTGGGGACCCCAGGGCGCTCCCTCGTAAGCACCTGCACACAAACCTGTGGCATCCATGTGAGCGGTCGCCCCATCCCTCTATCACCTCACCTTGCTTTAATTCTCTGCACAGCTTCCATCACTGTGTTTACTGTTTATTTCTCATTGTCTGCTTCCCCCCACTAGAACGTAAGTTCCAGCAGAGCCACTAACTGGTCCTGTTCATCTCTGCACCCTGAGAGCCCGCACCGGGAACCGGCGCTCGGGAGACACAGGTGCCACAGCAATGAAGGGACTCTGGGAGCCCGTGGCCTCTACGATCTTATGGGGTTGTTTAGGATTACAGACAGTGTACATGACACCATGTTTACCCAGCACCTGGTGCAAAGTAAGCACTTTCTGAAGACACAAAGGTAAAGTTACTTTTAACCTGAAGCCTTCCCTCAGGAAACGGTATGAAAATTGAAGAAAACGCAGAACAAGTGATGAGACTGACTGACTGCAGCCGGGGCCGAAGGCGAGGAGAGAACACCTGATACCATCTGACGAACTATTTACAGATAAAATACAAACAGAAGGACTGAAGTTATGGAAGCTGCGTGGCTGTGAGAGGGTGGGAATGCAGAAGATTCAGGAGCGTGTGCCTGCCCCGCCCGGGGGGACACCACCTTCATTCCTGGTGGAACAAGCGCCCACACCCCCAGACCGCCATTCAGGGTGGGGGTACACAGCACGTTGTACTGCAGTTCCACTCACAGGAGATGTGGCTTCTGGCTGGGACACCGGTGCTTTAAAGGTAGAAGTATTTTTGGAAACATCTGCTTTCTTATCTGCAGCCGCTCCCTGGGACAAACATTCCAAGTAATCCGGTGGGGGAATGACGACATTGCTTTTCTCAGATAAGTTCACCGTGCTGATGCTTCTCACTGGGGCCAGGCTACCAATAAGCAGAGAATACAAGTTATGTAAGATCCTGCCATCTGAATCCCAAACATCCTAAATATCCTAGGGCCAGAACTGCAATAGGTGAACAATCACATAGGGTGTGAGAGAGGAGATGAGACGTGCGTGTGTACACACACAATATACATCTATATAAAAAATACTGTAATGTTTTTACTGGTTTGTAAATGTACACTCAAAAAAACCGGCTTAATTAAGAGCTGGCTCTTGATTAATTTAAGGAGATCAATAAGAAAATGAAGACTATAGCAAAAGCCTTAGCAAAGTGTTGAGCACTTCAGATTTGAAAAACAAAACAAATAAATCCTCAGCATTTAACATCATAAACACAATATCTAGTTTTATTCCTTGGCCGCTTGGCAGTTGAGCTGTTCTGCCAGGGATGAGGACACACAGATGACACGGAGCAGGACTTGGGGGGGGGGGGGGGCATCGAGTATGGTGCTCAAAGGTCTGCAGGGACAGCTGGATGGATTAGAGGGTTTCTTTGAGATGAGAAACACTGAGAATGAGGCAGTTTAGGGTAAAGATGAGGAGTGCAGTTTGGATATGTCATTTCCTTCTTTCCTTTTTTTTAGAGAGGTAGGGAGGGAGAGAGAGAGAGAGAAGGAGAGAGAGAGAATCCTAAGCAGACTCCATGGCCTGCGTGGAGCCCAACTCAGGGCTTGATCTCATGACCCTGAGATCACGACCTGAGCCGAAATCAAGAGTCAGATGCTTAACCGACTGAGCCACCCAGGCGCCCCTGGATGTGTCACTTCTAAGGACTCATGGGGTAACCAACTACAGCTGCTGATACACATATAAATATTCATAGCTAGGCGTGGAAAAGACCTTCCTGGGTTCCAGCCTTGGCTCCACCTTCCTGTGCCTCAGTGTCCTCAATTTTAAAGTGGGGACCTACCTCATAAGGTTGTTATGAGAATTAAACGAGCTAGTCAGCAGCATAAGGCACTTTGGCACTTCCTAAGCAGTAATGGTGATGACGGGTCACCCTGGATTTAGTGACCTGGAGGGGGGTGGTGGTGCAGTCAGTGGTTCCAGAAGGCTGATAGGAGTGTGAGGAGCAGAGTCTGGAGGCATGTCCCCACAGCAGAAACGACTAAGGGAACAGCTGTGGGTAACAGTCCCCCTTTTGTACTCTCCTACACGAATGGAGGTTTCCCTACGGGGTTGCTACACATCTAGACAGAATTCTGGTATGCCTAAAAACATGAGGTCAAAGGTGAGTTTTCGTCACTGGGAAATGGGAGCCACAGTCAGGTCCTACCTTGGTGTGGGCACACTCATGGCCTCCTTTTCATCTTCTTCCAGCAACTTTGTGTAGGATGCTGGGAACCAGCCCCTCCTACAGGTGAGGAAGGAGAAAAAAGGCCGGGTTGTGGGGTCAGCAGCAGACAAGTGAACGGTAAGCATACTACGGAATGGCTCAGGGACAGCCCAGGGGCAGACCGGTCCATTTTCACCACATCACACAATGTGTATTTTATATACAGCATTTGTTTTATTTGGATTACCTTTTTGGCTTTTTTCCACATTTATTTAATAGCTGAATAATCTACACAGAAAACCAATTTAACCAGCTCACAGTAAGGCCTGTGCACATACTCATGGTTGAAACGACGATGCTAGCATTTAAACTATTTATGCGCTAAATCTTAAGAAAATCTATCTGATGTGCAGATTATCCTTGAGAAATCCAGTTTTTTTTTTTTTAAGAAAAAAAAAAAAACACAAGAGTTATTTAAAACTACTTTCAGAGGTGACTTCATTATGACCTGTTCAAGTACCAAATTCATCTATATATGCACAGACATACAGAAAATACCGAGACAGAGTAACTCCAATGAACTAAACTAGAACCATAACTAAACTATGAACTTAACTTAAAAACGCTACTGTGACCACAAAGACAATTTGCCACTAAAAGGAGATATGGCAGCTCTCTGAAGTACTGGGCGGCCCTGACTGCTGTGTGGACAGCATCTGCCCTGAGACTTACACTTTGGTGGTGTCATGCTCTCCATAAAGCCAGCCGTCCTTCTCCTCAGGGACGAGCAGTGTGAGGATGTCTCCCTGCGCGAAGCTGAGCAAAGTCTGGTTTGCGCCAGCAGTGTGTGGGAAAATGGTTTTTACTTTCTGCTTCTTCATCATGTTCAGTCCAGTTGCAACAGAGACTGATCGCTGTAAACTGGGATCATCTGAAGAATCTGTTGAAAATGAGCGCAGCACTGATCGCTTTTCAGGGACTGATAACAAGTTCAAACAAGCAAACCCCAGAAAGCCACCCACTCCTGCCTGCCAGCACTCGTCCTACTGCAGCTCCGAGCGCATTGCTTCCACATTTAGACTTTGCCTGGACGGGCAGGGACCGCGAGGAGCAGAGGCAGAACCACAGCCTGAGGTCTCTCACCGAGCAGGGCTCTTGGGGCTAAGTGCTCTTTTCCAGGTGGAGAGGACACAGTACGTGCCAAGCTTCACCCGCCTCTGATTTAATCAGAAGCAAAATGACGCATCACTGGAAGGCCGGATGCTTTCCTTGCCCTCCTCTCCCAACACGAACCCCAAGGCAGTGTAGGGCATCAACCCAAACGCCACTGCCCACGACCTGGACCACAAAGAATAAGAGGAGACTGGGAATGCAGTAAGGATGCGCTGAGGACCAGCACGTTTACTGAACCCTCCCTAAGTGCCAGTCCACACTCTCAATGCTTCACAGCTTCTGAGGGAAGGAGCGGTTATCAGTTATCGTCCAGTGATTCACCGGGATCTCAGCTAGCAGGCCAGCATGGGATGTGGGTGGCCTGACGCCACAGTCCCTGCGTGATGTGAAGCATGGAGCTGTCCGTTTCTGTCTCAATTCCAGCACCAGCTGATATTTACCACTCCAAAGAAACAAAACTGCCATTCTGAAACTCTCATCTCTGGATCTCACTCAACAGCTGCAAATGCTATAGTCTGTGGGCTCTCTCTAGCACATGACTCAATGGCCATGACTTTCATACCCAAGGGGCCTGAGACACCCCACACAGAGAGAGGGGTCTCTGGGTGCCAAAGACTCTGTCTACACAGAGCGGAGCCTAAGCAAAGCCCCCTGAAAATTCTGCAAACAGTAACTTGTCCTGATTTATTGAAAAAGCATCAATAGAGTTATGAAATTTAAGCAGTCAGAACTTAAGTGTCCACAAGGCATGAAGTTCTCTGTTAGAGATGATGAAAAACACTAAGCCTACTGTTAAGATCAATCACCATAATTTTGTCATGTGAACTTTTATAGTTTGTTTTATTGAAAAAGAAATTTTATTACAATTGCCACCAAATATGGTACACAATATGAGGATTTTTGTACATTATATCCCATTTTAAAATGTAACACCTTTCAATAGTAAGTTTCCTTTGTATAAACATCAATCAGTATATGGAATTAGAATTTGTCAAAGAAATGTGTCACTTATAAAATGTCTTATGCTTTTATAATAAACCCAGACCTTAATTTACTTTGAAGTGTAAGTTTCAATAAGGCAGGGGCGCCTGGGTGGCTCAGTCGGTTAAGCTTCTGCCTTTAGCTCAGGTCATGATCCTGGGGTCCTGGGATCGAGCCCCACATCAGGCTCCCTCTCCCTCTGCCCCTCCTCCCTACTCATGCTCTCTCTCAAATAAAATCTAAAAAAAAAAAAAAAAAAAGGTTTCAACAAGGCAATTATAAATGTGTGCTACCACAGATGTTTATTTTCCCTACCTCAGGGTAACATTTATCTAAAATAGTAAAAAAATTTAAAAAGGTATTTTATTTATTTTTTAACGATGCTATTTTTATAGACTTTATTTATCTGGGGGGGAATGCAAGCAGGGGGAGGGGCAGAGGGAAAGAGAATCTCAAGCCGACTTCCCGCTGAGCCCAGAGACTGAGGCTGGGCTCGATCCCAACACCCCGAGATCACAACCCAAGCCAAAGATCACGACCCAAAACCAAGAGTCAGACGCCCAACTGACTGCACGACCAAGGCACCCCTAAAAAGGTATTTTAAAAGAAATCAAAATAAATATCTTACCTGTTGAATTCTTTATCCTTTCTGAATTCTGTCCAACTGTTGCTGGGTTATTAAACATATCAATCAAAGGACTAGTATACGCTCTGGCTGAAGGAGCTGGGGGCACCTTTGGCGAATATTTAGAAAGAGTGTCATAATCTTTCCCAACCTGTGAAAAATTCTTTATTAGTCTAATATTAGTGTAACACAGCAATGGAATTATACAGATTCCCAGGGCTGTTTTAACATGCTTTAAATTCCACTTTCTTCACAAAGTTCTCTTGGTTGATGGCAATGCCCCACTCTGAATTATTTCAAAAATATCACATTTTTTCATTTTTGTCTTTTTTTTTTTTTTTAAAGATTTTATTTATTCATTTGAGACAGAGATACAGAGAGAGACAAAGAGAACATGAGCAGGGAGAAAGGCAGAGGGAGA